AATCCTAAATATCAGTTATATTTCCTTCTGAATTTTATTTTATTTTGAAATCTATTTTTGATGTATATCAATTGGATATAAATCGGACGTCAATCAGCTATAAATAAGATAGGTCGAATTTTAGCTGATTTTTGACGTATGCCAATCGGTTATAAATAAGATAGGTTGAATTTCAACTGATTTTTGATGTATATCAATCGGCAATAAGTATGCCAATTAGCTATAAATAAGATAGGTCGAATTTCAGCCGATTTTTGATATATATTAATCAGATGTAAATCGGACGTCAATCAGCTATAAATAAGATAGGTCGAATTTTAGCCGATTTGTGATATATATCAATCAGATGTAAATCGGACGTCAATCGGCTATAAATAAGATGGGTCAAATTTTAGCTGATTTTTGACGTATTCCAATCGGCAATAAGTATGCCAATCGGCTATAAATAAGATAGGTCAAATTTCAGCCGATTCTTAGCCGATTTCTAGTGTATACCAATCGGCTAGGCTGATTTTTTGATAATTTGCTGAATTTAGACCGAAATTAGGCCAATTTTTCGCATGTCTGATTTTTTGATTTTGACCAGTAGTTGATATTGTCTTTAGTAGTATGGTAATGTTCAGAATTTGTTAGATATTTTAGCATAATAGTCCAATCACCATAACTAACGAATCTATAACCTTGCTGATACGATTTTATAAAAGTAACTATATATGCTACAGTAGTTAGTCAAATATATAACTGGTATTTCTTCTTTTCTGCCCAATCATGTGGAGTATAATGATAATACAAACCACGCAAACTAGGTTTATTCTGATGATATATAGGTACATCTCTGGCTAGAATTTTTTGACTAAAATAGTCTACATATCGATCATCAGGAATTCTTATAGCATGAGGAGTTATATCTAAATACTTCTTTTCGTCAGGAGTATTATCATTTCTCACTATATTCCAAACTTGTTTTGCCCAAGTTTCAGATCTTGACTTATAAGTTCTCCAAGCTTGCTGAATAACTTTTGCACTATCGATTAAACGATTTACAATCTTTTTCCTACCTTCATGTGAATAATTATAACTATAATGAGCCAAACCTTTACTGTACATAACCGAATATGTTAGATAAATCTCATCAACTTCATCAGAACTGAATGATGATACACTTCCTCCTTTTTTCACATTCTTTCGTATAAAATTAGAATGAATCTTAGCAGTTTTAGTAATACATTTCTTCAGATGATCATTGCCACATTCGATGGTATTTTCACGGATAATTACTAAGGAGTCGCATACAGTGCAATAAATATGAAATGAGCGTCTCCCAGCTTTAAATTCCCCATCTTTATATGATCTTTCAATCATTTGAATAAATCCATTCTTGGAGAAGTATTTTGGGTTATATTCAAGAATTTTCTTAAATGGATAACAAATACAAGAACATCACATTTCTGGTGTTTCACCACTATACCTATATTGCAGATTGTTTAACGCTCGCACTATTACAGGATTTAAACCAGAATAGTTAGTTTTAACCATTTTACAGGTGTAGGGAGTTTATAGCAATTTATAGCAATTTCATTGATTTTATCGATTTATTGCTATTTTAAAGACTTATAGTGATTTATAGCAAGTATATTATAATAAAATATCAGATTCATTTTTATTCGATTATTCAAAGATGAAAATAGATTCATATTTTTTTTTGATTCGGTTAAATTAGATCCGATCAGCATAGACGGCTAAACTATAAAATTTGTATCACATGTGATCTCCCTAAACCCCTGCCAGCTTCACGACAGTTCTAGGATAGTTCCAGGCACTGGCGAGTTTTGATAAATCACGAGATGAATTACAGATCAGCCAATCAGATTTTCCGTAGCAACCAAGAATGGATAATTATATCTCCTATTTTTTCTGATGGTAGAGTCTGAACACGCAGTCCGGGCTCGTCAAAATTGCGCAGAAACATCCGGTTAAATTTATCTTCCAAAATCATGATGGTAGAGTCTGGACTGCTTGTCCAGGGTTGGAAAAATTATGCAGAAGCGGGATTAGCATCCGGTTAATTTTTTTTTCTGAAACCTACATTTTTTTTTCTGATGTAAGAATGGGATCAGCATCAGGTTAAATTTATCTCCCGGAACAGCCGAATATCTGATGGCAGTGCTTGTCCAGGCTCGTCAAAATTGCGTAGAAAAAATATGATCCAGTAACCGGCGATCAAGAAAACTTGCCACAAGGGCGCAGTTTAAAAAATTTGGTTAAATTTATCTCCTGAAATCATGATGGCAGAGTCTGAACTGCTTGTCCGGACTCGTCAAAATTGCGCAGAAGAAATGGCGCAGTACACTATCGAACTTTCTTTAAGATTTTGGCATTACATAATCTTTTTCATCCTTAGTTAGATCCTCTTTCAGAATACCTTTTGAAAAGAAAAATTTACAGGTCTTATTCAGTTAAAAAGAAAAACGTTATTATTGTTATTTGGATGTCACTAAAGATATTTTTGCACACAACATTATAACGCAGTATAATTAAAACATTAGATTATAAACTTCGTAAAAACTACAGTGATAAAAATATAATAATTTTTTGCAATATCTAATAATAAGTCCACCAATTTAACCCACTTATCCCCGTCTACTTGTTTTTATCCTATTATTCTTCTTTTCTCAGGTGGTGAGGTCTTCACTTTATCAATCTTAGAATCATCATCACTTGATTCGGAAATAATATTTGTGACGTAAGTATATATCCGTTCAGTACTTGAAATAATTATATCCTAATTTTCAAGGATGTTAATTACATCGGTGTATAATATGTATGCAATATTTCATGTCAAACACTTACTCGCATCATCCACAGATTTGAGGCGAACTTTGGCAACTCCTTGAAGAGCAAAAACGTCATCGTCGGACAAGAGAACTTTTTTTCCAGTTTGAAATAATAAACGCCAGCAAAGGGAAAACACATGCTATAAATATAAAAGTTATGATCTATAGGGATTTATGAAAGAAAAAATTAGATTATACTTAAAATAGAAATATTCATCTGATACATAGAACTTACCATATACTTGAATACCAAATACTTTTATCCTCCTAAAGTCTTCATAGCAACCCGAATAGTTAATTTTGATGTAGTTTAGGATAATCTTGAGCATCTTCGCGATTTTATTTCTATCTCCAACGTAATGAGTATGATCAAGACATGTTGGAGATCCCGAAACTTCTAAGACTGAGATCTCTAAGTCTAGATCCAACATTGATATGATCGCGTCAATTTTATTGCCGGAGAATCGTCGATCATCATCTTTTAATGACTGGTTGAGTAAAATGGCAGAAGATCGCAAAGTTTTTTCTCCCCTATTGTATGACAAATTAGCAACAATGCTAGTGGGCATTAAAAGCATTAAGACCATTCTAACTCACCAGGCTTGTTTCAAAAATATCTTCTTTAAATAATATGGTATAGACGTGAGAAATAAACCTAATTATATAATCATATTCAGTCTGATCTTCTTTGAAATAGTTTACACCATTTGGAAACTGATCCCGACTAAAATAATGCCAAAGTTGTACATTAACATAAAATCTGATCAAAAAAATAGTCTACACAGAATACTTACAAGATTTTCATCAACCCCAAGGCCCGTCTCTTCCATTTTATGTTACCATCAGTCCGCAACTTTGCACGCTCCGTTTTTATGGTTTCACGCAATCTCTTTGCAGTATTCTAATGAAACTGGTATCAGAAACAAAATCAATTATTCTTAAAAATAATACCTACTTACCACATTTTTCGAGATGTATTTTATATATTGCTTTACTTCTTCTACCTGCCCGTCTTGTACTGTGTCTTGATCAGATGAAGCTGAGGTGGAGGCAGAAGCCGAAGCTAATTGTGTTGCATTAGGGCTTAATGTTAAAAGTTTTTCTATAGTGCTGATGATATCATCCCAATGCTCCTCGAAGAGCTCTCGTGCTTCTGTTGCAGATAAAGCAGTCGTGTCGATGATATTGTAGCGCATTAAACTGTAAAATAAAGTTTTCATTAAAAAATAGTAACCAAGGGTGTGTAATCATATAAACGGGGAATGATAAAAACAAATAAAAATACTCTTGCTTGTGTATTTCTTCAACGTATTTTGACGATTTACGCCATTTCTCCATTGCTGACCGGATGCATACATCATTAATAATTAATTTACAATCAACAATAGCACCAGGGGTTTCCTGTAAAAGATCGTCTTCTAATTCTTCTTCGGGAATATCATCTCTATCCAAGGTAAAGGCATGCTCCTCATTATCGTGGTTATTATTCACGTTTTCGTGAGCTTGATTAACAATGGGTTTATTAGGCGTCATATTAGGTGTCATTATTACCGAACGAGTTGGACATGGAGTGCTTTCATGAGAACTAGAGTCATAACGGACATATTGTGATCTTGCGTTTTTAGTCTTGATAGATTTTAGATTTCAAAAGTAGGTTAGAATTGGATGATTTATGTATAACCTGATAAAAAAATAATTACGATACCTCAGATCCTTCTAAATCCCCTAAATCTGAATTTGAGCTTGAGGATTCAGCGATCTCCGTCATCGGTGGTGTTAAATACGGTGTGGATTGTTGAGATTCTGTCATCTGTGAATAACGGGTATTACTTTTTCTCCTTATCTTCTTGGGTTCATATTCTGGTTCATATTCTGGTTCATCAGAATCGCGATAATTTGGGATATTTCTTCCGTGTCTAGTTTGACGTTGCTTTTGATTATGGCGGTATATCAAATAAATTCACAAAGTTTGTAAATACAAACAAGACAAAGTAGTATGATGTATCACATTTTTTCCTGACATTTATATGTTCGCTCACTATATCATCTGCAGATTGTTATTTATGTATTTACCTTCTTAGAAGCAACCGCTTCTTCATTTTCATGAGATCGCTTGGAGATTGAGACTTCATCGTTTATCGCTTCTTCAGTCCACTTGTCAATTTCTGAATGTACAACCGTGGCAACACCTTTTTGGTATTTCGTGGCGCTCAATTGCTCATAAAGAAAACAGAATTTGTAGTGATTTAGTTTTGTAGTAGAAAGAAAGTAATGATCCAATAAATATACACTCACAAATTGGGCTTTTCGGTGGTCCACATGTTCGTTGTCCACTTTTTCACGGCTTTGTTTAATAAAAATTTTTTTCCATATCTGTAAAAGCAAAAGAAACATAGTTCTAGGTTAAGACTTGTAAAAAATCAGCTTCTAAAATGGTTACGAAAGAGTGGAGTGGTTTAGGTCCGAGTAACCCACAGTCCCCAGACTTCCAAACTTCAGTGACCCACAGCCCCAAAGTCGCCACCGATCAGGATCATACGAGTGACCCGCAGTCCCCATATGTCGCAAGGAAGTGACCCACAGTCCTCCTCGCCTTCAGATACTTACACCTCTAAACGAGAGGCGCTATCCCTCTATAATTATATGTTTGTATATACATTAAAAAAATAATTCACTTACATCCCAAGTGTCCCTAATATTCTTCAAAACCCGTGTTGTATCCGTATTAAAAAATTTGGAAACAATAATTTCTTCCAAGTCTTTGCTAAGCGCGTCGTATATTACTGAATGGTTTTTGTTCGGCCATTCTTTTTGATAATAGGCGAACATGTCATCGGCGGTTACAAAACTGTTGATACCTCGGGTTGAGTAAGGAATCTGAAAAGGGGCCTACTTAAGAAGGATGATTTATTTTTCACTGAAAACACAGAAGAATATAAAAAGTTAGTCAAGTCACGATGGTTCACCAGACGAATGACTTTTCAAATACTTTCATACTTTGTTTTCGTTGATGATAGTAAAAGAGTACTCGTGTGAAAAAATTCTGCAAATACCGCGACTCCTATATATCATCAGATATGTGTAACAACTGCGTATTTTTTCAGGTTCTCACATGACCTGCCTATGCTACGATCGCGAACTTAAGTTTTTTGCTTGAAGTGTTGCAGGTAAGACAATATTCCGTTTCATTTTTATGCCATTCGCCATGTAATCCATGTTTTCCGTTGCAAATAGGACATGGTGAGCTCCACAGTTGAGGTGATGCAAAATTATAATTATCAATCCCTCTGAAACTATTTCCGAATTTCAAGTATGGGAAGTACTCTAAGACGGATTTGATAATTAATTCTGGATTGGGTCTGGCTTCGAAAGTGATGGGCTTGAAATCAGAGGCTTGAGGTTTTTCTGATATACTTATCACAGCTTTGGCAACTACCATGGATCATGCCCAGTTTCTTTTTTATATCTTTTGTATAATTTGGTACGAATCTTATCAGTCAAAACGCTTGGTAACCCACTTAATTTGGCATGCCAATCCAGATATTCGGGGATTAATATTTTATACTGAATATCAAAACTTTTGGATACTAGACAAACAAACTCCTTAATTTTTTGTATCCTTTTCGGGATAACGATTTCCAGTTTTTCATCGTACCATACTTCAAGAAGGGAAATTCCATTATCTTGACATATGCATCGTTTTTGCCGATCACGATTAATGATATCTTTGAGTTTTTTAACATCCTTATACCAGCTAGTGTTATAAAGCCGATGCTGAGCCCCTTGCATCTCCAATGCGATTTGATATCTTTAAAAGAAGGCATCAAGTTCTAATCCATTTAAGAAGGGAGAACGATATTTGATCATAGGTTTCTCATTAAGAATTTCCTTAGCTATCTGGATGTATCTAGTCTGGAATTTGCGATTCTTCTTAAATTCTGATTCTTTTTTAAGTTCATCAATATCACGCCTTAATTTTGCTACCTCAGCTTTAAGCTCATAAATCTTAATATCACGCTTAATATTTTCAGCATCAGTATCTCTCCTACCCTTCTCTAACTCCTTGATTCTGCTCTCAAGCTCGAATGTCATAATTATAATATTTTATGTACAACAGGAATTATTCAATGTTATGTGGCAAATGTAAAAAAATAAATTACAGTTTTGTGATCGCAGGCCTTAATGGATATATGACAAAAAATCTATATACTAATATACAGTACATGCTAAGAAATACAAGGGTCAGTTATTTTTTCGCCCAATATTCATCTACCCTAGTCCTGTATAGCAATTTTGACTTTTTTGTTTTCATAAATATCCCAGGGACACATAAGATAATAAAAGTTATTTTTGTCCTGGCAAGTCCAGTCACCCCATATACACCGATGCATGTGAACACTCTTACATGCCGGGCATTTGGCTTCAGGATCGATATATTCAAAAGCATCTCGACACCAAGTAATTGATTTATTCTATGACAAGAAAGGGAAGCGTTTATTTACAGCATCGAGGATGGTATTCCGGTCTTCAGAGAATTTAGATATCTTGATAGGCACATGTGAAACTTGAGACGCTAGTGGAATAGGCCTTTTTTCTTTACATTGCTTTCTCGCTTATGCCTCTGATGCACTAATCTGATTGTTTTTTGAAATTCAAGGGGTAAGAGTACTTACCCTGACATCTGGTGATTTTTTCAATTCAGACTTATTCAATTCGGCTAGTAGATCATGTGAACGTGAAAAACTCTTTCTGCTGATCACTTTTTGACATTCTGCAGTGTAAAGGTTTATTATATTTTGAATTTGTGTACTCGTTAAACTTCCAATAGTATCGACACTGTATGTAACTAACCTGATTTTATTTATTCCTCTTTCTTTAAACAGTGTATAAATATTTTTAGCTTTTTGAGTCATCTTACATAAATTCTCTCTCTTCTTACTTAGAAGGTAGGGCTTTATTTCATCATAAATCTGCGTTTTTGCCATTTGATCACTAATATTGTTTTCAAAAGCAATAGTTATAGCCTTTTTTTTGAATTCCTTACTATAGTAATACCAACGTAACTTTTCTTTCTGACTAGTTTTTTCGGCCTTATTAAATAAGTGAGCTAAATGAGATATAGAACCTGAAGCTAGATCAAAATCAACTGGAATTTGTTTACTAAATGTAGTAAAATTTGGTAAGGATTCATAGCTTCTAATGAATTCAAGTAATTCACATACTAAACCTTTTTTTACTTTTTGTTTATAGGGAACTTTCCCCTCCTTACTATTTTCAAAGCTGGGCGAAGCAATACATGATTCAGATGATGGACTGGCAAGATAAATATCTTGTCTATCTTTTTCATTCAAGGAAATAACAGAATCCTGAGAATTGATACCAGAGATATCGGCTATGAGTAACTCTGAATCCAAATTCTTCTCTTAGGAATCACCTTCTTGAAGCTTTTTCTCCCGCTTCCTTTGTCTTATTTCCTCACTAATCCTTTTCTTATGTTCTTCATTTAAGAAAGCGTCTATCTTTCTGTTCTCTAACAACCCCCTTGATCTGATAGCAAAACTACCTCTTCGATCTATAAAGTGAGAGTCAAACCATTCTGATTGCACAGCCTTGGATCTCGCATCTCTGATAAATTTAACTGACTATGAACTTCGTAAATAGGCAGGAGCTTACACTGTTTGGGCTGAACTATAACTAAATCAGGTACGTTGACAGATTCTTCGAGAATAAAATCATTTATTACCTTATCTGATACCGATTGCTCTGCAATTACCTCAGATACATGTACTTCTTCCATTGACTTAGTGTTGACATTATTTTGCTGGTCTATTACAGAGTCAGATTCATCAATGGCTGATATTTCTGCTATCGTTTCCTTATCATTCTGTGACTGCCCATCTACTACCGAGGATCCCTGTTCTAATATCAAGAGTCTGGCCTCAAGTTCTATATTTTTTAGTTCTAATTTCTCAACTCTAGTATCACGCTGTCACCGTGGAATTCTTCAACTCGAGGTGGTCACGTTATCAAGTCTCTACTCGAAATTTCTTAACTACGGCTTACTGCGGTTAAGACGTTAGAATTCGCCTAACTCTTAACTTTACCAAATCTACGCGTTGAACTTAAACAAATCTATCAAGTATGAAGACTTGAAAGACGAG